AAATAGATTGAAATTTTTGATTATATTTTCAATAAATGAAAAAATCAAATTCCAAAATTAATGCATTATACGTTTTAATTAAATGCATGTATTATATTTTCAAATGCAACCTTAAGGAAATAATACTTTATTTCTACAAAATTAATCATCTAGCATCCACGTGTCATCACAAGAGGAAAACAGAGAGCTGACATGACTTTATAATATGCTGACACATGTGCTTGGGAATCCTAATTGTATATATATATATAGATTTCTTCAAGTAAGAAAGCAACACAAAAATGATAACGAAGTATGGATGCTCATTAGCTTATTGAATGCAACAAGCCACCCATTCTCACAGTTATCAGGAAACCAAAAACCTCATCTTTAGATATGAGGTAATCACTTTTAATAATGTTTATAAATAAATAAATAAATGCGCCGACTTTTTAATTTACAAGACATTAAATGATAATTTTAATATTATAATTTTTGACACTACACTCCAAACTATAAAAATCTTATAATTTTATATATGGCTTGATTTAGATTTGTTTTGTTATCATTTTGCATTAAAAAAATGGATAATGAACTTAACCAAATTTACCCAATGGGATTGTAATGTTTGTAATAACTTTTCCCTTCATTTTTTTTTGAATGAAAATGTGATATTCATGCATTCAAACTTTTAAAGAATGTTGTACAACTGAAAGGGCCCAGGCCTTACAAAAAGCTAGTGTTGAGCTAGGAAGGAAAAAAAAAAAACTTTTAAGCCATAGAACAAAATCCATAGAGATTTTAATAGTTTGATCAGGTCAACAGTGGAAATAGCTTCATTGGCTAACCTAATCTGCCTACTTGGATTCTCTTTTAATCAGTTTTAGAATTCAAAATCATGATTTTGTCAAAAAAAAAATCATACAATTCTATTACATATCAAAATTTATTATGAACTAAAACCATGGTTTATTTAATGTTTATATTTTTTATACTCGACTATTTGGGTGTAAAAATTTTTTATATGCTAACATGATATAACATGTTGTGTAACACAGTATTTCTGTGGTTTTTTATAAAAAAAAACCATAGCTTATTTAAAATAGCCAAAACATTTTAGTTGGGCTAAAATCTAATTTTTAGCCCAATCCCACCTCAAGCTTTAAAAAACAAACAGGTTAATTGGAAAAATTGATAACTAATGCACCACTTTAGACAAATGACAAAAGTGGATGAAACCTTGGGAACAATTGCAACAAGTAGAAAACAAAAAAACCAAAAAAATTGCAACAAGTAGTCTTAAAAAATTGCAACATGGGGCTATAAGAAAAATGACCATTTTACTTATAAAAAGAAAAGCAAGACACAACGTGTATCAAAAAGAAAAACAGGAAAGCAAGACCCAATGTTCAAGCTCTTTCCAATCTCTTAACGCATGAACCAACACATAAAAAAAAAAATTACAAACACTTCCTTCATCAAAATTATATGTAGTTTCTCTAATCAACTTGCATCCATGAGAGAGCAACAAGTCGCCTATGTCCAATAGAACTACGGCATCCGATAGAATAACATCAGCGATATTTTGACCTTTTTTTTCCTGTTTTTTTTTTCGTATCACAGTTTTTGCAATTTATTTCAATCATGTATGCTTCCATTCTGCAGTTCTTGCTTTTTGCTCCATCTTTATATCTTCATTTTCTTTATTTTTAATTACTTGCACCCTAATGAATTGTGGAAAAGTCGACAAGGACCCCTAGAGTTCATTTTTTGATTTAGAAGTCAAGTTTAGCACATCATTTGAGGATCTTCTTTTGGCATGCTTGTGCAACAAAAACACAGCAAACACTTCTATATGCATGTCAAAATCAATTAAGAATTCAAAAATTTGGTTGCCTCATAAGCTATCGTTACATATTTTTTAAAATCAATTCATATCCATTATAAGATTACTCATAAAGTGTCAACGTATGTCTTCCGGCTTGATGTGGACCCAATAGGAACATGTCCTACTTCAAGCTCCGGTTACTATTCATGTTCGTAAGTTTCCATGGTCCCTTGCAACATTTCTTTGAGCTCGAATATGCAAGATTATAGCTTAATGTATCTTCTCCAAGAGTATATGTGTGTATTAATCCTTTAATGTGATGAATTGGCTCCAAATACACATTACAACCTTTTGGGTATGAATTTTTTTCCTTAAATTTTCCTCTATTTAAATGACTTGATATTGGATGTCTCAATAGCATCATATGCCACTAAGACTATTCACATTGTTTGATAGTTTGGTCAATTTAGCCTTACTCTAGCTACTCGAGTAGATTGGGCTGGGCATCGAATAGGGATCGAACCTTGCCTAGCGCAGCCCAACCCAACCCAACCATATGTAATTTTTTTTATTTTTTAATGTTTTTGTGAATAATATTCATTTTATGATGTTATTTTTAGTTGAGAGTTACTATAAATTACATTATTTATATGATATTTTTAGATATCTTTTACATTAAATTTTTTTGATCTCTTTCAAAATTTAAAATTTGTTTTTTATTTAATATTATGTAAAAATAATTGATAGTTCTTGATCATATGTAATTTTTAAAAAAATTATTTTTATTATAATATTAGTTTTATAAAAAATATATTTTAAATGATAATAATTATTTTTTTTCCAAAAAAGTATTTGAAATTTTTTTTGAGGTAACTTAACCCAAACTTAATTCAAACACTTGAGTATTTGATTGGCTCAATCAACACATTGGGCTAGGCACCAGGCAAGAGGGATACTTGGCCTAACCTTGCTCATATGCAGCCTTACATATCACCTAGGATATCATGTAGGATTTGCTTTCCAACTATATCTTAATTTTATCCATCACATATTGATGAGTCTCCTTATTCTCTATACCATGCATGATGAAGAGGGACACCTAAATATATGTCAAGATCAAATGTACAGAAACCAGGTAGCCCATTGAGTTGGTTTATTTTTGCAGAAAAGCACACTTAAGTCTTAGGGAGAATTTTAATTAAAGAATAAGGAAGAGATTTAATTTTAGGTGGGTTTAAAAATATTTTAAAATTTCAGTTTAGTTCAAGGGAGAAAAGATAAAAAAATTTTGATGATAAAGAGACCAAATACCCTTAATGTGTTGTGCAAAATCACTAGTTGTTAATTTTTTTTCTGCACTTGTTAATTTACTAATATCACATGTAAATTACATTCGTTTGTAAGACAATTAGTAACATTAGTTATTAATTTATTAATTTTACTTATTAATTTACTAACATCAATTATAAATTACAAGATCTATTAGTAATTTACAACTAATATTAATAAATTATCAAGTAAAGTTGTCAATTTAATAACCATGTTGTTGCTTATGATTGATAAACTGATATTAAGTTTTATATAATTATTGACATATCAACTCATATAATTTATAACTTATATTTGCAAATTAATAAGTAGAGTAAGAAAATTAATAACTAGTGATTCTGAGGGTATTTTGACATTTTCACTATTAAATTTATTTTAACTTTTTTTTAAACTGAATTAAAATTTTAAAATGTTTTTGGATCCACCTGAAATCAAATTTCTTCCTTATCTTTTACTGAAATTCTCCCTAAGTCTTGCCCTGACTAACTTTTTTTTTTCTCAAGACACAAGCCTCTAATAGCATCTTTTAATCACGTCAACTTGATCTCACGATGCTTCCATGAATAAAATAAGACCATAGAAAAGATGAAATACAGGATACTTGTTTAAGCTTTACAAGTCTCCTCCCCTCTTTGAACCTCCTCCTTCAAATGAGCATCGTTTTCAATAAGAGACGAGATCACTTATCCCGTACATTTGGAAGGAGTAAATTGGGTTTTTGCTAGTTTTTATCCCTTCTTTTTTTCTCATGATTTGGGATAATTTATCTGCATGTTTTTATAGTTTTTCTTAATTTTAAGTTAGGTTCCTATAATTTATTTTAGGGTTAAATAGCAAAAATACTATATAACTTTTTCTCTAAGGGCGCTTAGGATTCAAAACTTTTTTTAAAACATTTTTATCTTAAAAGTTTAAAAAGCAGAGCATTTCGGTCTATCGTTAAAAAATCACAAATGTTAATTGTTAATTAAAGTTTGACCAAAATATTTTACAATTTTACCCTCCTTTATTTTTGCATTTTTCAGTTTTTGTTTTCATTTATTAGAAGAAGAAAAGTTAAATAATTTATTGGAGAACAAAATCGGAGATTAAACACAAAAGAAAAGAAAAAAATACAAAAATATCCTTTATCAAATTTTAATTTAATGATCAACATTTACAATTTTTAACAATGAAGTGAAAATGCTTCATTTTTTAACTTCCAAGGCACAAATACTTATAAAAAAAATTTAGAATACTAGACATCTTTAAAAAAAAGTTTCAAAGCATTTTTTCTGTTTAACCTTTTATTTTAATTAAACATTTATATTGTTCTATTAAATAAGTTAATCCTTAAAAATTAAAATTAATAATAAATTATTAAAATTTTCAAACAAAAATATTTTTAGAGTTTATAAAAAATTTAATTTAATACTTTTAGTCAAAATCAAACAAACAAAATTTGATTTAATATATTGTTTAAATTTTTCTTAATCTTTTGTAAAATTTCTATAACCATAAAAATATTTAAAACATAATTTAATTATATAAATTTTGAGTTTTAAAAATTAAGTAATTAATTTTAAAGTTATACAATCATTTTATAAAAATATAAAATTTTAAAAAAAAAATTAAAAACTTTTATATTTTATATTTTTAGGGGTTAAAAAATTTAATTGATCCAACTCTATGGATTCAATTAAAACAAAATGAATTATAAGAAAATAATTTAAAAATAAAAAATATCGTGACTTATAAATATATTTTTCTTAATAATTTTTATTATTTGGGTTAATTAATTTGGCTATTTGATTAATTAATTTTCGACCTATACCAAATTCTTTTTAAAATTAATTATAGCCCGATAAAAACCATTCTCTTGAGGAGCGGGTCCGACTCTCTTCGTCGTCGCACAAGCATTCCGCACTCCGTAGGATGCCGTACACCGTTGTCAGCCCTGTGTGGTTGTTCTCGGGCAAGCAGTTAAGAAGGTTCGAACCCTAGGACTTTTTTACTCCCAAAATCTGGTGAGATTGATTTGTTCAATCTATTTGGCTTTGAATCTGGTCGTGTAATCGTTGAATATTGAGTTTATTTTTATTTTTATTTTTTTTTTGGTACTAGTTTTTGCTTGAATGGTGTGTAATTAGCTACTGTACTTCTTCTCTCTTCATTTTGATTACTAGCGACTTGGATGATGTTCTGCAATGTTGGATTTGTTGTGTATTGGCATTCTGTTCGTGAATATTTTTATATCATCATCAATTTTGGAAAATTCTCAAGGTATTTGTGATATATGATCTTGTAAATGACTTGGCTAGAGTAGTGTCAAAGTATCTGGGAACAAAAATTAAAAGAGTATTATATCAACTATGTATTTCAGTGCCCCGCTTAGTGCATTATAGGTCCGTCTATGCATCTGTAGTTTCTTTTCGCTTACATGCGAGCTTAACATCTATGAATCCTTTTATGTTTACAGTTTGAAGGCCCAGTAAAGCAATCTTACTGACCGATAAGGAGTAAAACGAGAGACAATGAAGCTTGACGTAGATGTCTTGCGATATCTCTCCAAAGATGATTTTAGGGTTCTCACTGCTGTTGAGTTGGGAATGAGGAATGTATGTATCTCTTTCATTTTCTACATTGGATATGATTTTAGTGGAATTTAGAGTGATGGTTTGCTTGCCCATTCAAAAGGATGGGGAATGAAGCTGGTTTAATATTGTTTTTGTCACTTGCTTTGAGCTCATTGAAACTCTTTTTGGCAGCATGAGATTGTACCTACTGAACTCATTGACCGCATAGCACGTCTCAAGTATGTTTCAGTAACCTCTTGAATATCCCATTTCTTTCCCTTTATCATCTGAACTTTACTTTTGGCGTTTTTAAATGGTTTTCCAACCATTTTTCAGGCGTGGAGGCACTTACAAAGTTTTGAAGAATTTGCTCAAGAATAAGTTGTTGCACCATGACTCTTCTAAATGTTGGTAGCTTCTAATCTGGTATTATATAGTTTATTCAAGTTCATACCCGTGACTCTTTCAAATTGAAACTTACCTTGATGTAGATGATGGCTTCCGCCTTACTTATCTTGGCTATGATTTTCTGGCCATTAAAACTATGGTAAACAAGGGTGTGTTTCAAGCTGTTGGTCGCCAGATTGGTGTTGGAAAGGAGTCAGGTACATTTTACACTACTCATTGACCGAAAAGCTTAAATCTCAATCTTCTAAACCCAACCCTCTTTGCTGCCACATCAGACTGTCATTTCCTAAATAATGTAGTTTTGCTCTGCTAGATATCTTTGAGGTTGCCTGTGAAGATGGAACAGTTCTAGCAATGAAGTTGCACAGGCTTGGCAGAGTTTCATTCAGAGCTGTCAAATCAAAGCGTGACTACCTAAGGCATCGTAGTAGTTATAACTGGCTGTATTTGTCTCGGCTTGCTGCCCTTAAAGAATTTGCATTCATGAAGGTTCTTCTCTATCATTTGTTCCTTTTAAATTTATTACAGGGTGGTTATCTTCATTGTTGATTTTCATATGATTCATGCTTTGCTTGAGCAGGCTTTAGAAGAGCATGGTTTTCCTGTTCCTAAAGCTATAGAGTGGAACAGACACTGTGTAGTCATGTCACTCGTCCAAGGTTACCCTCTGTGAGTGTCCTTTCTTATTTAGTATCACTTGCTTTCACATCGAACCTGTACAATCACAATTTTATATCTACATCATTCTTGTAATCAATAAAGCTTCTTATGTTGAAGTTTGTGCTGATTAAAGTTTTAGAGACTTCCATTATGATTAGCTTTTCCACTGTAGTCTTTAACAGTTGCTTTATTTTTTTTCAATGTTGTATATGATCTTTAATTATTGTAGCTATAGATAACTTTTACATCAGTACTTGGGTGTTTTGAACTTTGAATATTCATTGCATTCACATGAATGTGCACGGTATTAAGAACATGTTGCATTCCTAAGTGCTCTGTTTGTCACCAGTTTTAACTATATTCTCCTGCCAACTGTTCTAAATTTGATTGTTTTCTCCATTTGCCTGTCTTAAGCAGGCTCAGACTTTTCATTCCTGCTCCCCATTTTGTTTTGGTTCTTTTTTTTTTTTTTGAATTGGGAACTTGGAGGGGATTGGTTATGGCACCAATGTAGAGCATTGTGGTCTTAGGCAATTATAAATGGTGGATATGTCATTTGGGTTTGTGGATATAGGGTTCAGGTGAAGCAATTGCAAAATCCAGAGATGGTTTTTGAGACAATTCTTAATCAAGTTGTTCGGCTGGCAGAGCACGGTCTTATTCATTGCGATTTCAATGAATTTAACATCATGGTATGATTGGATTTTCTGTGTTGTCGTCTTTGCACTAGTTTTGTGTTGACTTGGCATAAATTATCCAATGGACTACTAATTTGGTTATTTTATGCAGTAATTGTTAGCTTCTGCTTCTTGTTGACTCTAATTTCAATTTATTACAGATTGATGATGATGAAAGAGTTACCATGATTGATTTTCCACAAATGGTATCCGTATCACACCGTAATGCACAGATGTGAGAGCCTTTGCCTTATTTTTTATAATGTTTCCTTCCTTTCTATGCCTGTGTAAATGTTTTTAATGCTTATAATCACATGCCTGAGTAGGATCTGGCTCTTTCTTGGTTAGGAACACAAAAAGTAGATCACTATAAATATATTACAGCTGTTTATTCTGTGAGTAAGTTAGTAAACATGGGAAAGCCCAAAATCATTTCTTCTTATTAATACCATCGAATCAAATCAATCGAATATTATATATGCTGTTTATGGTGTTAGTGCCTCATTGCATATTTGTTGTACTGCAGGTACTTTGACCGTGATGTTGAATGTATCTTTAAGTTCTTCAGAAAAAGGTTTGTTATTATTAATATGGTACACTTATTTGTAAATAGATAGTTTTATGCTTGAATGATCTTTCCTTTTTGATGATTACAATTATGCTTCGTGTGTTGTGAGCTGATTTGAACAATTACACCAATTGTGATGTACATGATCAGTTTTGAGGGTTTTGGTTGTAATCATTGATAAACTATCTTAAGAGAAGCCTTAGAAATGAAGTTACTTTATATGAATTGGAAATGTTCTTTAAGTGTTGTATGATATTGATGTGTTTGGTATGTGTTGGATAGAACATGGCTGCTTTTTTAAACTGTCACATATGTGCTTGTAGATGATTTTTACTTGATCTATATGTCTCTTTTTCTCTGGCTATGTTTTCCTCTGTTACCTGTAGAATCGAGTGCTTTTGTGATGCAGATGTTTCATTGTTAATTGATTTGATTGGCTGATTTTAACTGGGGTTTTTAATTTGGGAACCTTGGTTAACTTTTATTTTGGCTTGTTTTGATACTATTTATTTGTATCCTAAATAAGCATTTGTATGTTGAGTGTTTCTGTTCTGTTGAGTTTCTGCACCCTCTATGTCAAATTGTCTATATGTAGTCTAGTTATTGGTTTCATTTGGTCACCCTTTTGCATTAGTGATATCTCTCCTTTTGTACGATCTCTTTTATTTTTGCATTGTTTTCTGTTCATTCATTGTTAGTACTTGGTATTTTGCATGTAGCATCTCCTGTTTAATGGATCTGTTGATGTAATATATTCTTGGTCTTGCACCTGTTGGAATTTATGAGGTCTAAATTGTGGCTCCTCTACCATTTGCCTTTATGGTTTACTTCCGACTTCTGTGTTTCAGGTTCAATCTTTCTTTTCAAGAAAGCACAGATGATGATGAGGGTCCTGATGAAGATGGAAGACCTTGCTTTTCTGCTATAGACAAAAGCTCTGGTTTTCTAGATAGAGAACTTGCTGCCAGTGGCTTCACCAAGAAGGATGAAGATGACCTTGAGAGGGTATGATACTTTTTTTTCTCCTGGGGAGAAGATGGAGACCACTTCATTTTAAATGCTAGATACTTTTGTTTTTGTCTCCCTTCTGTTTTAGCTTAGTGCCGACATGAAATATTTGTTTGGTAAAGCATGATATTCAACAAAAGGGTTCACAATGGGCAGACAGTAAAAAATGTCATCTTGTTTTTCATCCTGTCTTATAGCTTTTAAACTCTGCAGTTCATCGAAGGCAGTGAAGAGATGGGTACACATTCAGATGATGATGGCATTGAGTTGGCAGAAGACTTTAGAGAGACAAACGTCATAGGTGATGATTCTCTACAGCTGGAGCAGGTAACATCTCCATTAGCTTTTGTTGTGATCATGGAGATTTGAGCGATGCACTTACTATCTGTGATGTTAAGTAGAGATTTGTCATTGCTACATGGGGAATTAGGTTCACTTTATTTTCCATTTGTTTTGGTAACATATTTTTTAAGAAAATAAAATTGGTCGCTACTAATGCATCTTTCATCAAGTAGTTCTCTCCTTTTGCTTAAAGTTGAGGACGAAAACTAGCCAGTCAATTCAACTAAATTATTTTTAATGCAACTTTAAATAAGAGGGACTGTCTGTGAGACATACTGAACCGTGACTAAAATATAGAATTCATTAATTGATGTGGGCATGGCAGGTTGGTTGGATAGTCCTTCAAAATTTGCGTGTAGTCCTACTTTAGCTTGTCATGGTCATCTACTCTTAGCTTTTCATGGTCATTAACTGGTTAGACTGTTTACTCTTATTTGATAAGTTGTGGAATTCTGTTTTCTCGGCAACCTTGCATGGTGTTTTGTTTGTAGCTTTTACAGATTGAGATTATGTTTTGATCAGGATGAGGGAAATGAAAGTAAGGATGGAGAGGAAAACTCTGAAGCAGATCAGAGCAGTGATTCTGAGAAGCCAGATGCGGATGATGGGGTACGGAAAGTTCCTTTACTTCATTTCTTTTCATCATTTATGGTTTAGTTAATTAAGTCTACATAGTTTTTGCAAATATTTAGTCACATTAATCTTTGCTCCTTAAAATTCTTCATTGAACCATTGTTAAAAAGTGTCAGATGATGGAATCAGGAATTGCTTCACTTTCAATTCCGGCCAATCGAGTTTTCAGAACTTTGCTTTTTGTAGTAGGACTATAGCCAGACAAGCCCTTATCTTTGTGATTTACAGGAGGAAAACAATGAATCTGTGACACAAAATGATGCTGAACTCACAAAGCGCTTGAATAAGCAGAGACGACGGGCCATAGCATCGGCTCGCAAGGGACAGAAGCCTGTTGCATCAAGGAATTGTTACAAAGCCAAGGGTAGCAAATCTGCTCACAATTCTAAAATACAGAAACAATTGAGCGGCTGGTGAAGTAATATAAGAATCCTTTGGTCGAGCCCTTAAATGATCATGATACTAAAACATAGGCTACCTGTTTAGAGTTGGGATATATAGTAAAGCAAATAGGATATTGTTTAGTCAATCGAGCTTAGTTTTGTTCTCCTTTTTTCTTCCTTTTGTTGCTAGATTAAGAGGGTTTGAATTTGAGTCACTATCCTCATTTTATTACATTTCTGTTATCTGAGCTAGTCCAAGTGGGATTTGAGTCTCATTATGCATAGGTTTGGGGTAAAACAGGGTTGTATCCGGGACTGCTCTATTCTGGGTGAAAATTTTGTCGTTGTGGAAAATTCAAAATTGTGCTTATTTAGCTACGGTTTTTCAAGAACTGTTTACTATTCTTAGTGAAAAATTAGGGGATTGAATTTCAGTTTTGAAAAGCCGCTCCGTATAAGCGTTTTTCAATTGAATCATATTCCGAAGTTAAATCAGTCATTGATATGTATTAGGAATATTTAGTGTGCGAGAGTCAATGACTGGAACTAATACGCACACAAGTTCTTCTGATGTGAATAATTTTCCAAGATTTGGCTTCTTATCTTAAACAATTAATGGAGATATATGCTGTCTTGGGAATCCAATTTAGCCTCTCTTTGTTGCGTTTCACTATTGCATGCACATCTGTGCTTATACCCTATTGGCTTCCAAGAAGCAGAACCGAATCCAAAAGAGAGAATATTGTTGAAACAACGGATGAAAAGCAAAATGCGAGGAGAATTTCATCTCTGGATCATGGTAGATAGTTATTTTTGAATTAAATCCAAAAAACTCTGAAAAGGCTGCAGGAAGTTAAATGAAATATTGAAGCAAAATGACAAATGATTTTCTCGAGGGAATAACTAGTAAAATTGCTTTTATTACTTGTTAATATTCTCGTATTATTTGTTTAGTCCTTAACCTTTGTTTAGTTGAAGCAGATGACCTAATAGGTTAAAAGAAACTGTTATCAAGACACATATTTGTTTTTATTATATTGGACGGTGGTCTCAATATCTAGGGGTGTTTACGGGACGGGATGGGACCGGGACACTCTCGTCCCGTGTCCCATCCCAAAAAAAAGATCGGGACTGAATTTTGGTCCCGTGTCCCGTCCCGTCCCGATAGTCGTCCCGTCCCGTTAAGAGTCGGGACGGGACCGGGACAAGATTGGGACGTCCCGCCGTCCCGATAAATAGAATAATATCGAAAAAAGATTTGGATAATAACGTTCATTAAAATTTTAAATCATATAATTTATTAAGTTTAAAATTAAAACAACACAAGCACATAAATAACAATAATTTAAAATCAATTATTGAATTATATTAATCATAACTACATATTATAATAACAAATACAAGTGATCTTTATGCTATAAGATTAACAACAACAGGCAAGTCAAACACAACATCAAATCATTATTCTTATACTTTAGTGAAGATGAACTAAGCTAATTACTCTTCTAAAAATAAGCAAGAAATATATTATAAATAAAGGTTATTAAATAGATAGATATAAGAATAAATTATATTAATATAATTAATATATTATAAAGAAAGATATCGCCATATTTACTTCATGCCATTAAAATTATCAATATAAAAAAATTTAGTTTTAAATAAGAATTTCAAGTATTAAAATTATAATTGATATAATTAATATAAGTATAAATTATATTAATATAATTAATATATTTAAAATAAAAAATAATATATATAATATTCGGGACGGGACGGGACGTCCCGATAGTAATCCCGTGTCCCGTCCCATCCCGAACTTCTTTCCTGTCCCGTCCCGATTATTTTCGAGCCGGGACAAGACCCGTCCCGATATGATCGGGACGATACCGGGCCAATCGGGATGGGTTTAGGCTGAACACCCCTACCAATATCGATTGGTTCTCCAAATATTATATTGGTCACATTGTGGTATTTCTAATTATATTTCTTTTAAAACCATTTTTTCCTATGTCTATTATAGGATGCCTTCTAAAAAATAGATCCTTAATATGAGTCATAAAGAGGATTATAATTAACATTTTTAAATTTTATCCCTGTTACAAATTACTAAAAAGAGAATTTAATTATAATTTAGTGTTTTTATATGGCTTCTTGAATATTGTATTTCTTACTTTTTAATAGAGATAAAGTTGGAATATTTTAAGACATCTAATGAAGCATTAGTTCCAGTGAGATGATTGAAAAAGACTTGTAATAAGGATTGTAAAATATAATGTAATAATAATCCTTCAATAATAAAATATTATTGGTTCCACGAAGCTTGGATACAACTTTTCTTATTTCAAAAGTAAAGTACAGTAGGCATGCCACATTGCAAATGTTATTTGGGTATTTATTGTACCGATTTAAAAATCCATTTGAGATCCAACTAAAAGTCCATTAGGCAAACACAGTTTTGAGTATCTTTTAATTTTTTTTTTATAAACGGGTATTTTGTAATTTTTGAAATGTACTCTAGTAGAGCTAATTTCAACCAACTCCTATATTATTCAAATAACTTTCAATTCATCAAATGACTTAAAAAAAAAAAATACCCAAACGTAAATTTTTGGTAAATTGATTTTTGACAAATGGATACCGAACGCAACATCCAAACAAAGTTAAACTCTCAAATACTATAAAAGCAAGACAAAAGTCTTCTGAAAAAAAAAAAATCCAATTAATACTATTATCAATTACCCTGTTTGAAGATTTAAGATAGCACAAGCACTAAGATTTATAATAACCCTACACCGAGTGATTAGATTTTAATACAAGTAGCAAGTCTTGATTTGTGATTAATATAAAACTCTGATAACAAGTACAAATTGGAAGATACATTTGCAAATGACAAATTTAATTTTCATGACACAGCATGATCCTGTGACTTTGAACTAAATCAGTAGCACAAGAATTCAAAAGATACGCTTGCAGATGGTGATGCCATCACCAAACGGAGCAAGTGAAACATGTATTCGAGTATCGGCTGAGATTAATTTGTTGAATTCAATAGTCAGTTGCCTACCTTGTTTTCTGAATTCTGGAGCGTCCTCTTCACTCATTGCTACAGATCCTCCCCACAGTGTGTTGTCATAAACCACTACGCCACCAACCTTCACCAATTTCATTAGTCTTTCATGGTAATTCCAGTAATTCACTTTGTCAGCATCAACAAATGCAAAGTCAAAGCTCCCTTCGTTGGCATGCTGCAAATAACAAAATAACACCCTAGAAGTCAAGAAGAAAATAAGGATACACTCCTTCCTTCCGGTTTATATTATACGTCACTTTCAACTGCCTCACCGGAATCAAAAAATGACGGTTAACTCGTTCGAACTATCTTAAAATTAAAAAAAAAATATTTCAACTCTATGCCACTATTAAAGAGAGAAAGAAACACAACATTCAAGAGTTATATAAAAACACTAAAATAGAATTAAATTCCCCTTTTAATAATTTTCTAGGGGTAAAATTGGAAAATGTTAATTAATAACCCTTTGTGACCCCCCCCCAAAACCCTTTGTGTGATTTATACGAAGGATAATTAATACAGGTCATTGGCACAAAGGAAGAGTAGCTAACTCATTAAATCTGTCTTAAAAAAATATTTTAACTTTGCTCCTATTGAAGAGAGAGAAACATAATATTTGACAAGTCACATAGAAATACTAAAATATAATTTAATTCTCCTTTTAACAACTTGTTAAGGGTAAAATTGGAAAATGTTAATTAATATCCATCTATGTGACTTATATTGAAGACAAAAAAAAAAAAAATTTTCTAGAGGGCGTCCTATAGAATAAAAGTGAGTGTGGGTAAAAAATTCATGAATCTCAAAAGGAAAAGTCATAAAGTAAACGAGAAAAAATGCACACAAAAATGGATTGTAATTCTCACATCTTTCAAGAGCTGATCTAAAGCCGGCAAAGCCTCAGACTCAACAAAATCTATCTTGTGCTCAACACCAGCTTTTCTAATGATTGGTAATCCAATCTCATATGACTCACAATTCACGTCTATTGCTGTTATCTGCAGTAAGAAACTATGTTAATCTATTAGCATTGTTACTAGTTCAACAATTTTCTCCTGGAATACTAATTTTTTGCATAAGTCATTTTTCACTACCTTACTGGAATCAAGTAGTAGTTAATTATTGATGTTGTTCGAAGGAAAAAAATTTCCATGTTCATTCTTATTAAATGCGTCGTGTTTAAAAACATTTTATATTTCATGCAAATATTCACTCTAGTCATAAAAAATTGTGAAAGGATAAGATTGGAAAAAACAATTGATGATCCATTTTTTTCATGCCGAGTGACTTAAAAAAAGAACCATCACTTCCTTTTAGAAGATAACTTACATATACAACTAAAATGAGTACTAGTGAATGACGGGGTTTACACATGACCTTTCCATCATCTGGAATTGAAAGAGCAGTGAGTAGAAGAGAGTATCCAGTGAAGACTCCGACTTCAATAGTCTTTTTTGCATTGAGTAGCTGCAGAAGCATGGAAATCAGTTGACCAGCATCTGGTGCAGTAGCCATCAGTGCCCTGCAAATAGACAAGGTGATAAGAGGCAACAATGAGCAAGAAGGCAAGTATAATTTTATTTTAAATGACTAAAATTACAAAGACTAAGATCAAGGATTAAATTATAACTAAGTCAAAACTATAAGGATTGAGTTATAATAAGTTAAAGTTCAGGAACTAAGTTATAACTAAATTAAAATGATTAATTTCTGGGGAAAAAATATTCATGGACAACGGCTCATTAAGGAAGATATGACTCAGTAATGAGTCCAAAGATATTTGATGGTCATGACACATCCAAAGTCTAACCACACTGCTATCTTGTTGAACCATTAAGTTATCAAGAAACTACAAGGCTATTTGAAAAAAAATCATAGTATGGAAATCCAATTTAACCCAATCTGTTGAACCAGTAAATTGTTAAACCAAAAATGCTTTGCTTATGACCAGTTTGCTCACAATTTGACTATGTTTTAACTATTAACATTTGAATTAGTACCTTCACTGATTCGATCCAGTTTCCAGTACTTCAAAAAAAAAAAAAACATGAAATTTCTACGAAATCCATTATTTGGTGAAGTTCATGTAGACATGAATTTCAGTGAAAAGTCACAGATCTGTAAATTTAAATATCAGTCTCAATTCTGTTTAATAAAAATCAAAAGCATTGGAGAAAATCATGCAAATAAGAGACAAGTCACTTTGGGTGATTAGCAGTGGCACGCCTTAGCTCCTTGAGAGGCTCTGGCTCACGCGGGTACACACTAGTCTCCAGAATATACTACCACACCAGAAGGACAACGTCTCGATCCAGGAATTTCAGACAAATATAGCATAGAGGGGAAGAGGAGATAATAATTAAGCGATATAATAAAAACATTAATACCTCATATAATTCTTCACTTCTCAATAAACCCTTTGAAGGACTTGGTATCTTCTTCAAGTCGTGCTCCATTACCCTCGGAACTATTTCAGATCAAGTTCTGAATCTATACACCTACACAAACGAAGCAAATATTGTCACAAACTCACCGAGGCCATCAAGGCAAAAAGAATGGAAAATTGGCCATTAGGACCAAAAAGCTTAAATATTTGGGTAGAAGTCCCGAATACAGAAATAAAACCTACAGGAGATTATGGTCCTTGATAGACAATATGTTTTTCAGCAAAAATTTTTAAAATAGCTTTCTATTTTTTTTTTTCCTGCAGTCTTTCCAAGAGTGCATATTATGGAAAATTCATGGATTATTTCAACATATCAGTGCAAAAATATATATATATATATATATTGTTATTTTCTCTAAGAACATATTATCTTTCCAGGACCATAGCCTAGGCCATGCTTGGTATGATGGAAGAGTTTTTAATGCAATCGGAATCGGAATCGGAATTGAAATTGGAATTAGAATAGAATTGGATTTAAAAATGTGTTTGGTATGATAATGGAATATTGATATAATTTTAATAAAATATAAGTACTTAAAATAAGAAAAGACTAAAGTGTCCTTTTTAAAATTAAAAAAAATTATATTGGAGGAGAGAAAAGGGGCAAATTGGAGAAAGAGAACTATGGAATTGGATTCCATGATGCATATGATGGAATTGGATTCTGCCAAATTTTCTTGAATCCTGATTCCAAAGAATCATAATTATTGCATACCAAACACACATGTTAACAGATTTCATGTTCAATTTCATTTCTTTTTTTATAATTCCAAGCTACCAAACGTGGCCTTAGATTTAGATTTATGCCCAAATATTTTGGCCTTTTGATCTTTGTGGCCAATTTTCCCCAAAAAGAAAGCCAACAGGATTTCACATCACGGCCTTTATCGCAGTCACAGCAGAATTTAAGTAAACAATCTCTGATTTGAAGCTCAGGGGGAAAAAAACATAATTGATTCAGCAAAACTGAACTCTTATACACTTACAAGCTTACTTACGATCCAGCGATGGACCGCAAAAACAAAATAATCATCTCTTCCGGTAGGAAGTCGAAAGGCTCGATGAGAATATGAAAGTGAAGAATGAGAAGAACAATACAGAGAGAGAGAGGAATAGGTTTCAGAATTTCTACTCATTGTCATACCAAATCTTTGAAATAGTACAAAAGCTAATGTCGTGATCCTTCAAGGCAACTTGTAACACTCAAATACGATTTCAACAGGAGTCCCCACCACCACCTCCTCTAAGCTCTAGCGTTGCTTATTCAACAGGATGCTGAACCCCCATGTGTTCCGGATGGCCATTTTGGGTTTGTTACTGACAGAACCGGAATTGGATCATAGTTTTGTAATGATAGCCTCGCTTTGTAATTTTTATTTACTATCTTGCTTTTGTTTGTCTTGGACTAAGCTTCTGGAGCTTCCTTTCGTTATCTGTTTTCCCCTTCGTCGATTGAATGAAATCCTTCGGCCAAGGGGGCCCAAAAAAAAAAAAAGAAAAAAAGACTCAAATACGACTTCGTTGAGACGTTTCACCCCAAAGGCCAAAAAGGGGGAAAAAAACAGTTTAATTGTATAGTGATTGAGTGATGGGTGAGAGAGAACGGTTCCTCATGCGGCCAAGCTCATTACCCAAGAGTTGATCTTAGCGTTTCATTTTGAAATGCGATATTTTTTCTGTTCATCAGAAATTAATTTTTTTAAATTTATAAAAATTATAAAAAAATTAAAATTAAATATAGAAGATTTCTATCATCCCTGATGAGAACTACATTGTCAAATTTTAAAAAAAATATTTCTATTTCTATTTTATCAAAATAAAAATTTATAAAAACTATAAAAAATTTAATAAATTTATTAATCACCAATATTAACAATATAGATTTAAGCCGATCTAATTTAATGTTAATTTTTATTAATTAATTATTTAAATATATTTTGGAGGATAAAGATTTGATTTATACATTCCAATTTAATATTAAAATTTTTTATAAATTAATTATTTATATTTATTTTGGACAAGTTAGATTTTATAATTTTTATAAATTTTTATTTTAATAAATATGTTATTAAAGATATTTAAAAATCAATTTAATAAAAACCGCAGAGATCATTTCCTTTCAAAATGAAAGGTTAGGATCAACTTTTAGGTAATCAATGCGAACGCGAGAGAAAACTGAAAAAAAAAACACAGGGAGAGAGAGAGAGAGATGAGAGATAGCACTCAACAACCTCTCACTTCGTATAAAAAAAAAAACAAAAACAACCTCACTTATTGGGCCTCTTGATAAAGCTTGATCCATAACACCTCTGGCCCAATACCTGACGCATCACCCAAACACACCATCTCGTGATGTTTTTTTCTTTAATACAAGGCCACAAAAAAAGAAAAAATCCATGGAGAAAACAATTGATTAGGTCATGTTAATACAAAAGGTTCTAACATCTAAGCGGAGCAATATCAAAAGCCTTAATGTCTATACTATGGTGCATCGCGTGATGAGCAAACCAATCAACATATTAATTCACTTCTTTATACATATGAATAAAAAATAGTAGTTTAGTTTCTCATTGTTAGATTTCTAATATTCTCTAAAATAGTAGAATAGGTGATTTTGGGAGAATTCATGCCAAATGAGAATGAGCGCTTTTAGAGAATTTGAGTAAATGTTAACTTGAGTGAACTTGCTATTTTGATAAAAGTTAAAACTTTCTTGGATGGCTATAACAATTGTGTTATGCAAGTGTTTGCCGTAAAGCATTACTACAAGCGTACGGGTCATCACAAGTGTAAAATATTTCAGAGATACCATTCTCATGAGTATTTAGGCAAATGATGGTTAAAAATTCACTACCAAGCTTTGAATTAGGTTAAGCAAATTCAAATATAGTGTTTGTATGAAAAGGTGAAAATTAAATGAAAATATTAAAAAAAATTCAGCTAATATTATGAATTCAAGAGGTAAGAATCTAGGATTATTTCTCCCTTTTGTATTTCATAAAACCATAATTATCTTCCCTCAAAATGACTTGAAATGAAAATAAGTGTTAGTCTAACATTCTATTTTATATGAAAAAGCTTTCTCAAGTAAAAATCATATATATTTACCAACACTAGAACTTTTCAATCTCTTAGAAATGATTAGTGAAAAAAAAAATTTTAAGCACCAACCTTAATGTGATTGTGAAGGGTCTATAAAATATTTCAATTTTATCAACAAACCATTCATTTATCTTGGTAAACTTCAAGTCCAACACTATTTTATCCCAAATTAACACCTAAACTGACTTTCTCAAGCACAACCCAAGTGAATACAATAATCTAAATGGTGATCAAGCAATTAGGGGCATTAAGCAAAGGACAAAATAAATATAAATATATCATTAACTACCAAGAGAGAGGAGTAATTAAGTCTTAATCTATATAAAGGTTCAAAATAATCCTAGAACAAGAAACTTAGCTACACATGTTCAGAAAAGAGCTACAAACAATATCTTGTTTAACACCCATATTAGAAACATAGAGAGGAAAGAGAAAGGAAGTAGAAAAATTAAAGAAAATCCATTTGAATCTCTTCAAATCTTCAATCTTTGGTAAAATCTCCTTCAAGAATCCAAAACCCTAGTAGAGCAAGCTTCAAGGAACCTCTAAAATTCATCACACATTGTCTTGAGGTATGTTTATGGCTTATTTACCCTAATTTTTCATTCTGCAACTCAAAATGCATAGTAGGATTTAAGCCATGCGCCATGACATGTTGTTAGTGTGCTGCTGTGGCACTTTTGCATCTCCAAGAATCCCGTCTTTGTGCCACATGCTACAACACTATGCATGTGATGTGGCACATGACACAAAACCTCTAATTTTCACTTTTGGCTCTAATTTCATTGCTGTTATGTTTTCATATGCATCCTCAAATATTATTTCACTCTCTATCTCTAAAATTACCTAAAATAAATCACATGAAATAGTAGATACAACTATGAGATCTTTCAAATTTTAAAACTAAGATAAGAGTCTATACAAAATTCTCAATAAATTCTATTTTCTAGGCCAATCTGGATTAAAGCTCATTTTCTTAAATTTAAACTCAAAATATTCACAATTGATCTAATTCATCAAAGAAAGTATAGGAAAATGCATTGAATTGACCTTAATTTCAATAGGTTATCAGCAAGTGATAACCAAAGTACTTGGCAAAACCCTTTATGCAATTTCCTTAGCAATCCCAAATGAGTCCATCACAAAAACTATCTTGTGACTTTACTATGGCTGATTTTGAACTTGGATCTCAAAAATTTGAAGATAATTATAATTGATTAATCAAGATTAAGTTTAGGTTAGGGACCAATTAGTTATAATATGGCAAACCAAAATTTGTATTCATGTTCTAAAGATATGTTTGCATTTAATGCTTAATTGTATCTCAAACAAAATTACCTCCAATAGAAGGATACATGTCCACAAGTAAAAAAAAAGAAAAAAGAATTAGGATTATAAATTCATAATATTACATTTTTGTTAGATTCTAATAAAAAATAACTAGAATATTGAAAATTTTCTATAAATTATTTGAGTTTTTTAGCTTTCCCCATACTAATTATTCCAATTTTTGACCAAACAATATATTATCCTTCATAAGAAAAAGGGGTCAAAGTGCAGCTTTTAGTTCTTAATATGAAACACACCATGGGTATTAATTAAATATTTTTAATATTATTTCTATTTAAACTCATTTACTATTAGAAAGAATAATGCAAATTGAAAATTTTTCATTTAAATAGAAGTAAAATGAAATTTTATTTTTTTAAAAATAAAGTTAATGACTTAACTATCTCTTCTTGGTACCGGTGACATAGTTGAAGATGTCATATAATAGGAAGTAGAAAAAGTATGCAGTAAACAAATCAAACAATGCAACAAGAAATAGTGGTGTTGCTAGAATTGGTACTGTTTAGGTGACCTACATTTCATTGGAAAGTGCTTTTAACAATTTCTAAAAGTAAAAGCTGTTTGGAGAAAAATTAGGAGATTAATGTACACTCTAAAAGTAGATTTAAAATGTGGCTGAATGTGAATTTTGAGAATGTAACTATGGATAGATTTTGAAACTCACGTATTACATTTGGGTGTTGGAAGAGAAACAAGGGAGTTAAAACATGAGCCAATTTTTTTTTTTTTTAATTTCACCTTGTTACCTCTTCCCTTACACTCTTGTAGCTTTGATTTTTTGTCCACCTCCATTTTTCTTTCTTGTCTGCAGAATATTAATTTTTTTTATTTTTTTTAGGTGAAACCATTTATTTTTAAATGTATTTGTTGAAAATATAATTATCAATTTACTGTTCCTTAGATATTTTTTAAATAAAATGTACACTTTGTTTCTCCTAAATCAGGTTCATGATTTAGTATATATGAATTATAAAATCAATACACATAAAAGTTTTAGAAAACAATGTTATTTATAAATTATTTGTAAATCAATTTTTTTAATATATTAAGATTTGCCTAACAAAAATTACTTACAATAAAACTCATATCCTTTTTAATAAGTACACATAAAAAAGTACAAATTTCATTTTATATCATTCAAACTACTTTTAATTTATCAAATTAAATTTTAAAAAAATATGTATTCAAATACAAATTTTATTACAATAACTGATTTTTACTAAATTAATTTTTGACTAATAAAAAACCAAACATGCATTGCATCACATTTAAATTTACAGGATTCGCATTCAAGTTTGGTAATACTTCCTTCAATCCAATTTATACAACACTTTTTTAAAATAATTTTTAATTAAAAATATAAAATACTTTGTAAAAATTAAATTACTTTTTTTTTTGCTTTTACTCTATTGATTTGTGTGAAAATATTTGATATAGTTATATCATGATTTATAATCAAATGTAAAAATAAAAGTATATTTTTTTTATAATATATAAAAAAAACTGACTTCTTTCAAGTATATCTCCCATTTTTATAACATAAAAAAATAATTTTTTTTAAAATGTGTGAAATGATTAAAACTGTCCTATAAGGATCAGAGAGTAAGCTAGCAGGAAAGAGAATTTATTAACTCCGTACATTGCATGATCAATACTCAACCTGTACATGTAAAATATGTCATATAGTGGAAACCAAGTCGAATCTAAACGGTTAAGCTTGCAAATCACCCCACTAACAAAAGCATAAATTAACATGATCTCTGACTTGGTAAAAATTCACATTCTTAACACTGAACCCTACACACTTTAAATTCCTTCAAATTAAGGATTCAAATGAGTTTCAAGATTAGAACACTACAGCTGCTAGAAGCAAATGAAAAATGGGCAGTACCCCCATTGTATACGTAATTTTGAAGAAGCAAAGCAATGATTCATCGACCAAGATAACACCATAGTGAAGAA